TATTGACAGCGAAGATCTGAGTCACGAACGAGCTGCACCTAGCAAACCGACAAGGAAACCACATAAGAAAAAGTTGAAGACCAGCCCAACTCCACCGGATTCCACGATGATACAGAGGGAGCATACTGTAACTTCGTTGAATCAGGTGGGACTACTAGAAGAAGTATTCAAATTATGGCTATTTTTTTGTAAATCAATCTTTCAAATAACACAATTAACCGCATGAAGGAACTAATCTCTCTTTAATTCTCTACTTACCTGCTTCCTATATGTGGATTAATTTTGTATGGTGGTGGATGTTTCGGGTCTAATATATCAGCCAGGGTACCACGAGTCTGTGGAATCGACTGCACCCTCGAGTTCAAGTGCCTCTACTCTCGTACCGCACTTAACTTACTTTATATCGACGTTAAAGGTGAGACAATCTGGGCGTCTGTAAAGCTGGGATTAATGCCCCTTCTAACACCATCTTCCTCGCTTTCATCCGACGAAATTATCCGCCCCATTTGAAATCATCCCTCTACGTCCTCGACTTTTTTTTTTTTTCTTAGACAGATTAACTTGCTGTAGAAACTTTACAACGAAAAGAGAGAAATTTGGATTTTGCAATTTCCCAAACAGGAGTACTGGCCGTTCCAAAGTGAAAACTCCGCGGGAAGGTCTCACAAAACAGTCCCAGTGGAATTCATCGACGACATTAGGAAAGAACCGGTGGCAACGAAGCACACAACGCCAGACAGAACTTCTGATCTGAGATATCGAAACATCGAAGACAATTTGGACACTCTGTATCGCAATACCGCCATACCGGATGAAACTTTCGGACCAGACGAGGAAAGGATATTCATCGACGTTGATCCTTACGATTTGGATGATTCTATGTTTGGACTGCAGCACAGCGATCCGGTGAAAATTACTCCTGTTGTCAGCAAGGAGAGTCCAGTGACGTCTGCGAAGACCGACGCAGATTATGTTGAAGAATCTCTGAAGAATGTTAAGAGACAGTGGCAGGATACGTTCGAAATTAAAGGCCACTGGAGCTCCACGCCGAAAAATCAAAATAGAGAATCTGTGAATCTGGCAACTACCACTGATAACGTTGGTTTGGAGATGTTCTACATTCCAGACTCCAGTACCAAACACAACAAGGAAAAGTCAGAAGAATCTCACCATAGAGAGATCGATCGAAGAAATCACGAGATCTCTGCAACTGAACATATTTCTCCTACGGTGTCGCTTAAAGAGTCGGACATAGTTTCGAAACAGCCAGACACCGACGAAGAGAGGACAGAAATTTTGAATAGGACACAAGAATACGGGGAAATTTTCGAAGATGAAGTACAGAAACGAAGATCCTACGTTGAAAATGGCACAGTTAACGATGGCGTGACTCGAACAGCAACTACCGAAGACGTGGAAGACGACCTGATCGACTTGGCGTTAACGGAAAACAAGGAATCCACGGAAATGGAGAAGGATGTGAAAAATCTGTCGCGAAATCGAGAGGACCGGACAAACTCGTCCGAGGGTACGATCCATTCTCAAGAACGATCAACCAGCGAGGAGATGCAGAAGACGAACAAGTCGTTGGAGGTTGCAACTACCGCATTTGTTGGATCGAATGCCACCACTGAGACTCCGGTTACATCTACTAGTACCTTAGGTAAAAATTTATTCCTCCAAAATGATCAAATCGTGTAATCTACATTTTAAGATTTATTAAACAAATTTATAACGTACAGCTACTCCGGAGGATCTAATTTTCGAATGGGTAACGACAGATTGGTCAAAATGTTCCCAAACTTGTGGTGGAAGTGGATTTCAGGTAACTTAAAGAACTAATTTTTCAATATAACAAAAAGAACAAGTTTGAAAAATTTATTTTATAATATTATTTTACTGACCAAGATGCGAGGTGCCCAGTGTACAGTACGTGCAGCGAAACCAGTTGGAAATACAAATCGTACACCTCCCCGAACAGTAATAGGAGCGACGTTGTGTGAAGACGCGGGACATCCGGTACCTCAGAAAGTCAGACCATGCGGATTCGGTAAATGTCCTCAATGGCACACGACAGAGTGGACCCTTTGCGAGACGTCCAGGTGCTTCAACTGGAAAACTGCGATGCAGAGGCGCGACATCACGTGTCGTATGGTCGAGGACATGGAAAATGGACAACAGAATGTGACGTTACTCGATCACAATAAATGTGACAATACTACTAAACCTCTTCAGAGGCAAGAGTGTTACAATGACGCGTGCAAAGGTGTTTGGAGGGTTGGAGAGTGGTCTGAGGTATAAAATATTGTTAATTAATTATTTGCTTCGTTTCTTTTTATCAATAAAGTTGGTAAATGTTTTAAAACTATTCTTTTACTACTTGTTCATAGTGTACAGCATCGTGTGAGGAGGACGGTATCAAATATAGAATTCTCCAATGCGTTTGGTACGGTACGAAAAAGCCAGCTGGTAACACATGCAGAGACATTCCACGACCTACTGTTATGAAGACATGTACAGGTCCACCGTGTCCTCAAACTCCTGGTAAAATATACCTAAAAGTTCAAGACCAATTTATAGTTCTATAAAATTTGAAAAGGTAAGTTAATAATTGTTCTTACAGATGAGTGCAAGGACCATTCACAGCTATGTAGCAGAGTGTCAACGATGAACATGTGCAGGGTGCCTCTTTATCAGAAGCAATGTTGTCAATCGTGTCGCTAGGTCCGAGAAATCGATAGCAATTGTTGGTACGAAAGGAAATGTTCTAGGTAGAAATTGACGTAATGAGAGGTGCGCGCGAGGAGGATGTCACTGTTAAGGCAACGTATCGAAGATATGTCTTCGTGAGACGTTTGTCGAAACGCTCCCTGAAACGCTTGTCTATCGAAAGATCGAAAGAATAAAGAAATATACGAACGTGCGTCGTACGTCGAACGCAGCTACAAAATATATAACGAAATATCGAAGAAACGGTATCGACCAAATTACTTTCGCTGGTAATTGTTCCCTATCCTTTGGTCCGTGCCCACGAGCAAACGTGTTCGCGTCTGATTACCAGATTCTTCTTGCTACCGCCAAGAATCTGATTCCTAATTGTGTGCTAATTAAAGCTATAATTTTCGGACGTGTATCACGTGTAGTTTGGCACGACTCCTAATTGCGCACGCTCATACCCCCTTGGGAAAACGAAGGAATCCCGGCATTCGTCCAAAAAAGTTGAGAAATTATATTGTTGAAGTTCAATGAGAATGGAATAGTAGGAAAGATAATTGTATCCTGAAAGGAGCTATCGCGACGTATCGTCGCCGTCGTCGTCGTCGTTGTCATCGTAGAACGATACGTCGTCGAGGTTCATCATACGTTGGTGTTACGAAAAACGAGCTTCATAAAGCTCTACAAATTTTAGATGGAAATGTTACGCATGTGTGGGGAGGGGTGAACGGAATAGTATAAATCTCGATCGCGTTATAAAAGGGCAGCACAAAAATTCAATCTTCGAAGCTTTATTTTTTTACGTGTATCTCTCGGATGACGCACGATCGATCTTTCGGTTCGCGTTCTCGAAAACGCACGGTTTTCGTCACTTTTATCGAAGACTGACAAAAAAAAAGAAAAAAATAAAAAAAAGAAAGAAAGAAACGCTACACCTTTTTCTGTAACTTTTGCAATATTTACCATTCCCCATCGGACGTTAGCGAGAATCGAGGATATTCGTTTCCGTTTCGTACGCCCCAAAAAAAAAATGTCTTCACGAAACATTCCGCTGCATACCCTTCCGAATAGAGGTGTGTTACAAGCGATTTTGTTATGTTTCCACTATTTGTATTTATTGCAACGTTACCTCTAGGTTCGACGATACACTATATAAATTATTAAACGGAGGATGTTAAGTTAATGAATGATAAAGTATAAAAGTTACTAACAATATAAGTTATAAATGAATTATTATGCGCCTATAAGCGCCTCGTCGGGCGAACGTAAGCCAATAGATTCTAAGCAATAAAATATATAGGTACTGTAATATACTATTTTGTTAATAACCTCTGGCGAAAATTCGTTAACATGACGTTCCATTGTTATGTCGAGTCGGCTCAAAAGAAATTTACTTGTGTGCCTCTGATCGTGCGATCGTAAAAATGATCATGTTTACTTATAACCAGTCATGATAATCTGACTCTTTAAATATCTTTAATTTTATCTCTTGTATTTCTACCTATAAATCATTCACTTGTTTGTCATATGAAATATTCGTCGTTGCTCTTTTCGGAAGTTAAGATTTACGTTCACTTCAACTCAGTTTCCTACGATATTGTGAACAGATTTTCGCTATCAACGAATTTGCCTCAACACAGCTAGACAGTTTGCCAAAACGAACTGACGTTATGAAAGCGCACGCGGATAAAAATGACTTCACCACCTTAAGCGCAGGTATGAGTGTATTATGCAGGATCGAAATATATTGTCTTACAGTATATTTATAAAAAAAAAAATTCTGTACATTACCGATATATTTCGATGAATATTTAGTTAGCGTTTAAGTCCACGGTAATTGTTATTCGATCCAACTAATCACGAGATGTATGCGTTTCTTTTAATATCGTCTACCAGTAACACACAATTTCCTGCGAATTGATTTCCGATACCTGCATTTTTGTATATACCACGATCTAGTTATGTAAAGTGACTCCACACTATTATACGAAGAGCATTATTGTTCATTATATCTATGTAAATATGTAACTGCCTAAATACGAATAAAACCAGAGGATATATCACTGCACAGTACCTTAATTCATTTCTTTAATAAACTACTACTCAACTGAGGTGTACAAATCCGTATTTATTGCTTTGTCTAATTGACTACAGGTACTAAGGTAACATCGATAATTGACCTTGAAAATTCGCTACAATAACCTAAACAATGTAGAATATCAAAAAATTGTACGACAACATTGTCACTTAACAGTGTACATGTACGCTTAACACAGTGCATCGATTCAATCGAGAATTCCCCAATTTCGAAGTACATTATCCTGACTAAGGGGCCATAGTTTCTTCAGCAAAGTCCAACCGGATTTCTGCGTGACCAGCAAGTATTCGTTTTGCGGATCGTTAAGATGAGAGTACGCTCCCATCACTAGACTCTGGCAAATCCTCGCGCAAACAGTGACTTTTAGAATTCTCTTCTCAAGATCCGTCAACTTTCTAACATCCTGATAACCCTCGACAACGTGTTTACCCATATCTATGTCGTTTGACTGCAAGATCATGTAGCATAACGTGATGGCTAACTCGAAGATCAGGCAAGTTCGGTGCGAATCACCAAAATCGATCACCGCAGCTATCTCACTGCCGCTGGAGCTTATCACGAGATTCTGCTCGTTCAAGTCACCGTGTATCATGCCTTGTTCGAGCTGAGGAGTGACCTGGAGCACGTCCTCCTCGAAACCGAGTATCACCTGGTGCGCTAACTCCCTCTCGACCGTGTTCTTTACAGCATAAGTAAATTGACGTAACTTCGGCACGGATTTCAACATCCACAATGTCTCGTAGTCGTTGTAAGCTGGATGGGAGAACGACATGAGGACTTTGTCAAGTTTGGCCGTGAAACTGCCCACGTTTCGTAGCAGTTCGCCCGTAATCGGCACACGGTGTAACAGTTCGCCAGGCCTATAAACCAGTAGCCTGACAGCGTAACTTCCTGTACATCCATCGACGTTCAAATTAACCAGAGTATAATACTGTCCGCGTACAGTTTTCACGGGTAGGGGACAATTGATGTCTCGTTGATTCAAGAATATCAGCATCTCAGTTTGTGCCTCGATCACGTGACTTTTCTGTGAGTCTAGTGAATTGATGATCTTAAGAACGTAGCCGTACTTACTGATGGTCGTTATATGAGGGTTCGTATGCGATTCGTCGCATATCACGCGATAATTTCTGTCGTCGTACGCGTTCAATTCGGTTACACTCGAAGCATCCAGATCGTAAAGTTCTTTCAGAAGATGCGCGGCTATTTGATTGCTGCCCGGCGGACGGATACGTTGACCCGGTCTCAATACGACGTCTTGGTTCTCCACTTGCATTTTATTTTTCTAGAATTAATTCAAATAAACGTGAATTATGCAAAAAAATAAAAAATGAATTTAAAACCATCATTGTTTTTATCGGTAAGAGGTAATTTGAAACGTACTATATTTTATTTTCCTCGTGAACAATTTTTGTTTGAAATGTGAATACGAAATGAAAGCTGCTTACTTGAAAAACGAATTTATCTTCCATACGCTGATCGGTTATTTCACCTCGGATTCAAACGTAATTTACCAAGTTCACAAACACAAAGTTTGAAAGAGCAAACAAGCTGTCGCTGCAATTATATTTTTCATGCATACAAAGTCGTTAAAACGATTGTACTATTTAATTTTTAAATGCAAGTAACTTAATCTTCGAAAGCGCTTTTGTTACAAAAATAAAGTTGCTGGACGAAGTTCACAACGTACGCGCGAACGAAACAATTCAGGGAGTGAATTATACGATGGAATGCGCAGTAAATGTAGTTGACAGTCAATCAGTTCTACAATAGGGCTTAAATGTACGATGATTGATATTTATGTTACTTACTATGTTACCCGTGAACGAGCCTAAACTATGTTTTATACCTATACCTATTCTGATACCATGAAACAATAAGCGATTTCTTATCACGGTGATAAGAACAGCAAATATTTCTTACAGTCTTTGGATTCTTGAATAAAGCAGTAGACTTTTGTCGTTTATTAAACGATTCGCTTCTACGATTCATATAAAATAGTAACAGTTTCATTTCATAGGTTATGAAGACTTTAATTAACGCAACATAATCTTTTTACATACAATCAATTCATGGAATAATTAACTTAATGCTGATAGAGATCAGTACTATCTTTTTAAAAATTAATTAAAATGCCATTTTATGCTAATTTTAATAAATTTTTACAAACAAATGAATAATTATATATTGATTAAAATTTTCCTTTTGTAAAAGTTAACAAAAACATGCTAGAAGTAATGAGCTTCTACAAAATCATAAATTCTTTTATGCTCTTGCGAACAAA